CTTGATGTTCACAAAGTGGTCCACAGCCACCAACATCCTCAAATTGCTCAACGCCAAGCATATATTGCTGAAAAATCACCCGGCGCCGTGGGCAAATTGCAGGCGCGTGATTGAAAAACACTAACTGGTGCGTCGTCGTGTTGTTGTTGTTGGTGGCGGTGGAGGTGGTGGTGGTGGTGGTGGGGGCGGCGGCGGCGGCGGCGGTGGCGGTGTTGGTGTTGGTGTTGTCGTTGTCGTTGCGGTTGTGGTTGTGGTTGTGGTTGTGGTTGTCGTTGTGGTTGTGGTGGTGGTGGTTGTCGTCGTCGTCGTCGCCGTGGTTGTTGTTGTTGTTGCTGCTGCTGCTGCTGCTGCTGCTGGTGTTGGTGTTGTTGTTGTTGTTGTTGTTGTTGTTGTTGTTGTTGTTGTTGTTGTTGTTGTTGTTGTTGTTGTTGTTGTTGTTGTTGTTGTTGTTGTTGTTGTTGTTGTTGTTGTTGTTGTTGTTGTTGTTGTTGTTGTTGTTGTTGTTGTTGTTGTTGTTGTTGTTGTTGTTAGCGTTGTCGTTGTCGTTGTCGTTGTTGTTGTGGTCGTGCTTGTGTGTTGTGGTTGTTGTCGTCTTTGTCGTTGTTGTTGTTGTTGGTAGTGGTGTTGTTGGTGTTCCCACAGGGTCCAAGTACTCAATACTCATGTACTTTGAAAAGGAGTGAAACGCACAAGCGTCAGCATGATATGTCTCTGAGAATGGCTTTGGACGCCGAACCCGTTCTGGGTCACTTTTGGCTCAGATTTGTTAACGCAGGCACCAGGGCGAAGGGTGCCACTGCACTGGTGGGCCTGCTACGCGCGCTGGCCCGCAAAGGTGCCTACATACCTATGTATCTACATACATACATACATACATGCGTGCGTGCATACATTCATACATTCATACATTCATACATGCATACTTAGATACATGCATACATTCGTAGACCAACAAGGGTCGCAAACACGCGCCCACACACGCAAACACACCGCCAGCGCCTCCCCCCACCCCCCAAACCCCAGCTGCAGCCCCCGCCACCACAGCAACCCCAACAACAACAAAAACACAACAGCAGCAACAACATCAACCCAAAAACCAGCACCAAAAACAACAACAACAACGATGACGACGACGACGACAAGAACAAGAACAAGAACAGTCTGGAAGTGCGTTTCAGCATACACCTGCCATCTTGACCCAATGTGCAGAACCCGTGCCCTGCCTCAAAGCTTGGCCTGGCCGAGACATGTGGCTGGTCTTGGGTGGTCGACCTGCTTTGTGACACATTGAGGACAAACCCTGACGCTAAGTTTTGCCCATGTGACAGGTGTCTTGCAGTAGCAACCGTGGGGATTTGCTCCATTGGCTGATCGCCTGCGCTAATCACGCTCTGAAGGCACCTGCTTTGGATTTCCTGTTCAAAAGTTGGACTCCCCAATTTTGGGGCTCTCTCCCATCAGCAAGCGCAAAGCTGGTCCCACACGTTGCCTGGTGCTGGCGCAGGTGAACAACGAATGCGGTGCTTTTGGGTTGGCTAAGCATGCCGAAGAACAAATCTGCAGCCACGTAGTTCATCTCCGTCCATTGATAGCTGTGACTTGTACTTATAGTCGCCTTAATTTTTGCATGTGTGACATGTCATTTGCGAATCTGCCGCTGCTCGATGTAGTTTCACAGGCACAACGCCATGTCATGATACGGGTCCTGACGTGACATGTGCTTTCTGCGCATGTCCTCAACAAGATTTTGTCAAGGACAGCAAGTTGAAGCCAAGAACCAAAGCTTATGAAACAGAGCTGCTGAGAGTCTACAGTGCTCAGCGGGCGTGCTTGGGCTACCATTTGCGGGTGCGCTTACCATTTGCCATGCGTGGATGCCGTGCTGAGCGGGCGCGCTTGAGCGGGTGTGCTTACCATTTGGCATGCGTGGATACAGTGCTGAGCGGGCGCACTTGAGTGGGTTCGCCTACCATTTGGCATGCGTAGATACAGTGCTGAGCGGGTGCGCTTGAGCGGGTCTGCTTACCACTTGGCACGCGTGCGTACAATGCTGAGCGGGTACGCTTGAGCGGGTGTGCTTACCATCTGGCATGCGTGGATGCAGTTCTGAGCGGGTGCGCTTGAGCAGGTGTACTTACCATTTGGCATTCCTAGATACAATGCTGAGCGGGTGCCCTTGAGCGGGTGTACTTATGCGTGGACGCAATGCTGAGCGTGTGCTTATGATATGGCATGCGTGGATACAGTGCTGAGCGGGTGCGCTTGAGCGCAAGTGCCTACCATTTGGCATGCGTGGATAAAGCGCTGAGCACGTGCCCTTGAGCGGGTGTCCTGGCATGCGTGAACACAGCGCTGAGCGGGCGCGCTTGAGCGGGTGCGCTTACCAATTGGCATGCGTGCATACATTGCTAAGTGAGTGCACTTGATCGGGTGTGATCACCATTTGGCATGCGTGGATACAGCGCTGAGCACGTGCGCTTGAGCGGGTGTCCTACCATGCGTGAACACTGAGCGGGCGCGATTGAGCGGGTGTGCTTACCATCTGGCATGCGTGGATACAGTGCTGAGCGGGTGCGCTTGAGGGGGTGCGTTTACCATTTGGCATGCGTGGATACAGTGCTGAGCGGGTGCGCTTGAGGTGCGCTTACGGGCACTTGAGCGAGTGTGCTTACCACCTGGCATGCGTGGACACAGTGCTGAGCGGGTGCGCTTACCATTTGGCATGCGTGGATACAGTGCTGAGCGGGCGCACTTGAGCGGGTGTCCTTACCATTTAGCATGCCTGGATAGAGCGCTGAGCGCGTGCACTTAAGTGGGTGCACTTGAGCGGGTGTGCTTACCATTTGGCATGCGTGGATAGAGCGCTGAGCGCGTGCACTTGAGCGGGTGCACCTGAGCGGGTGTGCTTTATTATTTGGCATGTGTGGATACAGGACTAAGCTACGGGTCGGACACATGCTCGGATCGCGGAGAAAGCTGCGCGATTCAGCTGATCAGGTTTGCTTAACATGTTCGTTCAAAATCGGGCGCGTGTGCAATTAAGGCAGGAAAAGCTCTGGTTAGGATTCTCGAGCTCTCGGCTTCTCGGAATCTCGGATTCTCGGGTTCTCGGATTCCCGGGTTCTTGCGTTATCTCGGATTGTCGGATTCTCGAAATCTCGGATTCTCGGGTTCTCGGATTTTCAGATTCTCGGGTTCTCGGATTCTCGGATTCTCGGATTCTCGGATTCTCGGGTTCTCGGATTCTCGGTTTCTCGAATTTTCGGATTCTTGGGTTCTCGCATTTTCAGATTCTCGGGTTCTCGGATTCTCGGATTCTCGAATTCTCGGATTCTCGAATTCTCGGATTCACGGATTCTCGGATTGTCGGATTCTCGGTTTCTCGGATTTTTGGGTTCTCGGATTCTCGGATTCTCGGATTCTCGGGTTCTCGGGTTCTCGAATTCTCGGATTCACGGATTCTGGGATTGTCGGATTCTCGGTTTCTCGGATTCTCGGGTTCTCAGATTCTCGGATTTTCAGATTTTCGGATTCTCGGATTCTCGGATTCTCGGTTTCTCGGATTCTCGGATTCTCGGATTCTCGGATTCTCGGGTTCTCGGGTTCCATTGTCAAGTGCGCTCTGAAAAGTTTGGGAGTCCTTGGAGAACATCATCTTGCAACTCAGTCTCAACATCGACACGCTATCGGCTGTCGGGGCCGCTTTCCGGCCTCAGCCAGCTTTCTCGGCCTCGCACAGAGCACGCAAGCCGAATCCGTCTCCCAAGGCCAAGTGGCTGTGTCGTTTAGGGACCCTCCAAAATGGGGCCACGGGTTTCCTCGTGGTTTCCAATTCACTTTCAAACCACCAACAAAAAAGGGAGCCCTCAAAAAAAGGACAACCCCCAAGCACTGACCCCAAGCCCTGACCCTGACTTGACGGTGACCTGCCTGAAGCCACTTCACACTCGCGGGAAGTCCCCTCCTCCAAGAGAGGCGGCGCCATGGCACCCAAGCCAATCGCTGTGTTTGGCCTTGCCCATGTCTTGTCGTGTCCTGCAGCTTGGCTTGGGAGCTTTGGACATGATCTTGGAGTCCTTCCGGCAGGTGTAAAGCCTGTTGATGTTTTCTTGAATGGCGGGCGACCAAACCACAAGGCGATACACCCAAACCGCTTTGTTAGTTTCCGCACGACTTTGGCTGCCACCTCACCTCTGAAGCAAACCTTTCGTCTCCTGGCCATGTGAGGCGTAGCCACCTCGATTCCAGACGGATCGATTCTGGGATCCGCGGTGCCCATTGCTCATATCCCCCTGGCTGCAAATGAAACTACTCTCAATCTAAGGTCTCCACACACCCAAGCTGAGCCACAAGGCTACTATTCGAGGGGCATCCCTAAAGAGGGGAGTGGACCATCTGCTCTCTGCAAATCAAGCCCGTCCTATGAGCCCCGCTGGACCCTCGAAATTTAGTGAAGCCCTGTGGTTGGATAGCAAGGTAAACTCACCATAAAGCGGGTCGTATGTGGTTCTAGCCAAAACAAGCACAACAATTTCCATCAGAGAGTTGGTGATGTTACCAACTATTGTCTGAATATGAGCACTTGCAATTGAAAGGTAAAACACAGAAGGTCTCCTATTTGATAGTAGGTCTTGCCTATTCTGGATACGTGTCTGTTCGTTTCCTTCCAAACCTGTCCCCAACAGGGTCTCTTTGACGCATGGGCATGTCTCTAAGGGGACCGGCAAAACCATCCAGAAAAGTTGGTTTCTTTGGATTTCCCTTCGTCCATTTGCTTAAGTGCCCAACAAAACACACACACGTCCAGTAGTGCGAGATGCCATGTAAAACCAACAGGGGCAAAAAACTAGACATTCTTAAGCAAGTGGAAGTTCTTTGAGATCAATATATCATAAACCAGATCTCCCCAGATACACATGAAGCCACTTAGGTTTTGACTGGGGCCGACCAAATCGGACGCAGGCCTTCACTCGTTGCGTCGCCCGATCTCAGGCCCCAGCGCGCCGAAGCTCAGCGCCGGGCGCAGGCTCCGCCTGGACAGCCCCGTGTCTTATCCGCGAAGACTTCCGATTGGCCCGAAAAAGTCGATCCACGTTGTACCTGCCAAAAAGTTTGGTCCAAACCAAAAGATGCCGTTAAGTTCATGAGCTCAGGAAGTCATGCTCCAAGTCTTGAAACTCGAGGCGGCGTTCGGTCGAAAAGGTTTTGCTGCTGGCACCGGGCAGTTTGGACCAAACAGTGAACCACACAACGAACTAAATTGCTTCCCAAACCGCCTTTTAAAGGCGGTGGCAATGAACATTGCGGATGCCAGAAGACATGGCTCACCTGCTGAATGGACAGTCCAAACTGGTTATTTACCACTAAAATGGCGTCTTAAAAAGTTTAAAAGTCCAGGCACTCAGAGAGTGAGACCAGACATTGCCAGCACCCTGCCATGTGCTTATCAGCTAATTCAAAGCGGTTCACACATGATGCGCACTTTGCAAACTATTGAACAGGACTCGTTGGCAAGGCCAGACTGTTGTACGCACAATGAGCCCTCTCAAACAATGAGCTGTCACATGACATATGATAATATATAGAAACTGCTCTTGGGTACCTTACCAGGGAATGTCCACCGGTGCCGAAGGGGAACCCGAGCTTGGTTGCTCCCCTATTAACCAACTGGACAAAACATTGTGTGCCCTGGGTCTTTTTGTTGCGTGCCCTTTGGCCAACCCGCCCAAAGAACACTTCCTGATTTCATTTCACTTGGAGACTCCACCCGCAACTGGGGCGCCCCAACGCTCGGCTAGCACGAGACCTTCAGGTGAGCCCATGCTCAGGCGATTTTGTGACCGGCTTTGGCGTGACGATCATGAGCGACTGAGGGCATCATCCTAGTGAAGCCCTAGATTGAGCAAAACAACATTTGCGCAGACCGAACAGACCAAGAGTTTGATCTTGCGAAGCCAATGGAATCCGATATCCATGCCACAGAAAGTAACAAACTGCCCTCCTTCGGGCACTGTCAGGGCGACTTCTTCTTCATGCTTGCACATCTTCAGAATAAAATAATGTTGGAGAATCAAACTATTCAGGTTTCGCTTGATTCCCTCAAGTAGCCTCTGTGTTCGGCCCTGCCAACCACTAACCACTGAGATCGAGCTCAAACGCTGGGAGCCCGAGCCCATCTTCCACCTGGCCGACAAAGCAAACCGCATGGAACCCACGTGGAATCGGCACGAACACCTTGCTACGCACGGAAAAAGCGACCGCTTCTATGACCCTCAGACATGTCCAACTGCCATCTTGGCATCTCCGGCCCGTGCCTTGACCTGAAGCGGCACCGCCTTCACGCAAAGGAGATCCCCAAGCGCCGCCATGGGCTCATGGCGACTCCGGACTCGTGCGGGACTCTTGGCGCTGGTAAGCGCAGGTTGAGGGGGGAGGCGCAGCTTGCTTGAGTTTGTCTGGGGCTGAGCCGGCTAAATCCACGTTGAGCATCTTCTGATCAGTTGCGTGCTGCTGTTTCGGGATCATGTAGATGTGACGCATCAATCGATTCGCCTGGGCTAGGCACTCGCTTTCTGGCATGACATGTAGTTACGCAGTCCACTCATTGCTCCTGCGGCTTCAGCAGCAAACGCTCCTTTGAGCCTGCGGCCACGTGAAGAACTGGACTCAACGAATCAAATGAAAGCATGCGCCCTGGGCATCTTTCTAGACCGGACAGTCTTTAGGCCATGGGGCAAATCGCCAACACGTTGGTCTCATTTGGCCAATGAGGATCCCAGCCTGATGTTGACAAACAACGCGCTATCCAACATGTCCAAACCATGCGGAGGTAAAGCTTGTTCGCAAGACTCTTTGGCATGCTGAAGCAAATACAAAGTCACTTGTGGCAAATGAGAGAAAAACCTGGGCAAGTATTTGACCTGCAATAGCAAAGGCTCATTCTTGTGCGAGAAACGGCTGCCTGAAGACACATCCTGCGCAAAGTCGTCACAGAACCAATTCCGTGGTTGGCAGAAAGCCGGCGCGGAGCCATCAACAAGTTACTTGTAAGAGAGGGTAATTATGTGCACATTGCTGTCCAATGAAATAGCATGACACTGCCCAAGCAGCTGTGTTTGGCAGCGGGCTTTCACACTGTCTTGACCCTAGGCCGTAGTAGTGAGGCCTGCCCAGCAAGCGACAGCAGGAGAAAAGGTGTTAGCTGGATGCAATTCATCCATGGTGAATTTGCGGTGATTAGGGTGTGAAGGTTGAAAATGGGATCCATCCGGGCCTCCCGATGATCAAATACTTCCATTTCCCTCCTGTGAGTCCTGAATTGTTTCAGACTACAGCATCTAATCTGAGATTCACCTGGAGAGCAGCCTGTAAAAAAAATGCTTTGAACTCACGGGAATGATTGAAACATCACTTTGCGTTTGGGCTCAAGCCCGCCCATCATATATTTCCTTGATTGAACTCCAGGCACGGACAACCTCAGGTTGGATTCCAGAACCTGGTTCCAGCCTCCCTCGCAAGAGGTCTGCTAAGCGCATACAGGAAGAGTTTGTTTCCTTGTTATTGGACAACGCGCGCTTCCGTTGGTTCATTTCTGAACAGGAAGTGGAACAAAGATGCGGAAAGAACAGCGGGACAAAGCGCTGGCAGCTCCCGCAGGGTTCCCACCTGAGGGTAACTTGCTTTGAATGGGCCCAAGCTGATCAGTCAAACCAAGCAGAAAATCTAGGGAACCGTGGACCCTAGTTTCCAAGAGCCTCGTTCAGAAGCACACACATACACAAACACGTTGGACACTTACAAGCGTAATGTTCAAGATCAATGGTGTTGTTAAATCATGTGTCCCACCACAAAAGGTCTTCCAACGTGTCATGTAAAGATTCTGAGACACAGCAGAAAAAATATATATATATATATACATGCTACCGAACCCCCCCCCCCCCGAGACCTATTTTTGTTGCCTGTCCAGTGCATTATTTGCCCATCTTGGACTGGAAGGAAAGATCTCTCAACTAGGACTAGGACCAAATAAGACTAGAACCAAGGATCTCTCAACTAAGACTGGGACTGGACGATCCACCTCTGATTTTTGCAAGAGTTTACTTTCAAGTAGAACTTGCTCTGTGGTGTCCTTTATACTTTCTAACTATTTCGGTAAACTAGGAGCAACCTAACACTTTAACCAATGATCTCTCAATTCGGCCCAAACTAGGACTAGACTATTCAACTCTACTTCTTATAGTATTTGGATGTCAAGTATTGCATTACTTGGACAGACATTCCTGCGTAACATTTGGATTGAAACAAACTAGCGTACATTTAAGTTCAAATTTAACATGCACACATAACTAGATGTGGTCCTTACTTTAAGTTCTACTGTTTAGTTAGCAGTTACATACAACTTGGTACACATATTTAGCAGAATTCATGAGGAACTTCCTTGTCATGTGCTTTATGCTTGCTAATTATTTCAATAAGCTAGGAGTATACTAGGCTTACAACCAAGGATCTCCCAACTAGGACTATAGGACCAAACTAGCACTAACTCTAGTTCTTGTAGTCTGTGGTTGAATTTCAAGTACACTATTCTATTGGAAAGGAAATCTTATGTACCTTTGGCATAGAACAATCAATATTTAAGTTCCGATTTAAATCGAAACTCTGACAGGAGTATTTCCTTCTTAAACTCTACTTAATTTCCCTCATAATTTGGGTCGAATTAGATCAAGTAGAGTTCATAAGGAAAGAATTCATGTGTCCCAAACTTGTGTCTTTTCACTAGTCCTAGCACTACCGTGGTCAGAAAACACCGTAAAACACCGTGTTATGTAGCGCTTTCATACTCAATTCACATCTCCACCAACGACCGCTCTCTACATGCTCATTTTATTTTCCAGACAAGTCTTCTCTCCAAGTAAAACTCATTGAAGCCAACCCAAATTTCAGCCGAGCCCCTAGAATAGTTTGGCCTGCAATCTTGAATATGGTCCTAGTTGAATCTTGAATCTTGCACCCATGCCCGATTTAAGTTAAATCGGCTTAAATCGGTTCAAATCGAGGCCTGGATTCAAGATTCCCTGGAAAAGTTTGCCCTGGATTCTTGAATCTTGAATCCAGGCCCAATGTAAATTTAAATCGGCTTAAATCGGTTTAAATCGAGCCTGAAACTTCCCGAATGTTGTTGGACATGTGAGCCGTGCCAAATACTCTTGTGTAAAAAGCGGTCCTATAAACTTGCTTTCGCGGACCCTTTCGCGATGCTTTCGCGACCCCATGTTTTGCTTTCGCGGGCTTTGGTTTCTTTAGAATTGCTTTCGCGACGCTTCCGCGGCGGACCGTCAAACAGCATGCAGGCTTTCGCGGGTCTTTCGCGGCGGGACCTTCTTTGGTTACTTTCGCGATAAGCTTTCGCAAGCTTTCGCGGCCTGCGTTTTGGCTTTCGCGGGGATTCTATAGGACACCCCCCTTTACTACTTTGTATTGTCAGGGTTTTTGGCGCTGCTCATGTGTCTTTTTCATTGCTTTCCCCAAAGTCCAAAAAAGGGTGGAAAACGCTGCGCATACCAGTGAATTCTTCAAACAGGTAGGTCAATGGGAGCGGGGGGGTGCCATATATATATATATATATATACACATACATGCCGGTTGCTAACTGTATGCCCCCTTTGCAAAGTACATTGTGCAACAATTTATCCCTAATATCGAACGCAACATGGCGAATGAGAACAACGCATGCCCGTAATAAGCAGCACCAATGACGAACAGGCTGCGGCAACACAAGCACGATGTGTTAGTTTCTGGACGCGGCGGCTTTGATTTTTTTGATCGAACCTGGGTACGTCTAAAAACAATTGATACGGAGACAACGGCGAGGCAACCCAACAACTCCTTTGGGGAGTTGCAACTCAGAGGCGGAAAACATATGCAAACAATAAAAATCAACAAAGTCCCAGCACTATGAAAGAGGTGCAATACAAAAGCGCCCTACCTTGACAAATCAAGCAACATAACGCCAAACGCAACCCCTCTGAAGACCACAGTTGGACAAACGGAACTGTGCAGTCACGCTGCCTCATTCGCGCGTTTGCACACGAAAGTGCAACCAAATACTCTCGCTTGCGCACACAATACACCAGCACATGCGCAAACACAAACACACATACACACACACACACCACAGGCACACACACAACATACACTCAGACAAGTAAATTCAAAGGTCCAAACTCGAGGTCAATCCCAAGCACATTCACAAACAACCGCGCAGATCATCACAAACACTCACGCAAGAAACGCACGCACACACACACAAACAGAAAACGAGCAAACACATGTGCTCGTTACGAACCGCACACACCTACACAGTGCGTAAGAATGTAGCCCCACGCAACTGCACAACCAATTAAGGACACATATACACAGACGTAAACAAAACGCCCCTACGCCGGCGCGCGTTCTTTTTGGAACCGTCGCTGGGCCATCGAGCGCCCGGGTGCTGCTTTGCAGAGTCACCTGCAGCGAGTGAGCAGAGTCACCCACGCGCATATCTACATACCTGCGGAATAGTATGTACACACACACACATGCATCATACATAATGCTGCATTGCATTGTTACATTGCGTGCATTTCATGCGTGTTTGCGTGTATGTATGTATGCATGTATGTATGTATGTATGCATGTGTATATGTGTGTGTCTGTCCGCATGATGTGAGAGTGTGTCTGTATAAACGTAACATAGGTAGGTAGGCAGGTAAGGTAGGTAGGTAGGTAGGTACGGTTGACGGACAAAATCCCGCACCGCCTCTGCCAACTCCATTCTGCCACTGAACAGGCTGCACACCCCGCCCCTTTGCAATGTTGTTGGCATTCGCAAAAGGTGGTGCAGGATTTCGGTCATTCCAAAATGTTTGCAAACTTCCAATGCTAAATGGGGAGCGTGAGGGAAAAGCAGTGCTGGATTTCGTCCGCCAACAGTACTGCTTTGTCACGTTAGCTCTGTCAGCAAATCGTTTTGCCCCATGGGCGGCTATGGGCTGACCAGCCAACAACTCAATACTCAAACACGACTCAGGAAAGTCGCACAACTTGCCAAGTAAACATGGGCTCCAGCGCATAGAGGGAGAACGCTGCATTCAGCGGTGGGTTGAACGCTAGTCTTAGTGAACACTACGTTGAACACTACATTGAACACTACGTTGAACACTACCAAGGTCGCTACAAACCAGCTATTGGAAAAACATTGACATTTTGTTTTGCTTTCTTTTACCTCAAAGACGACGCCAAGCTGGCAACGCTGGTATTTGCGATTTTGGCAGTGTTCAATGTAGTGTTCAATGAGTGCTTCATGTAGTGTTCAATGTGGTGCGCATTGTAGTGTTCAATGCGGCGCTTACCGCGGCGTTTCGCGCAAACGCCTTGCACGCAA